ATCTCAGTTAGAATATACCTGTCCTGAGTGTAAATTGGCCTTTTGGGGGCTCCATATCATTTAGGCATGCTTCTCACCCTGGGTCAAACGGCGGCTGGAGCTTTGGAGTCTTTTAATAAAACATCTCACAATGTTCATGCATTACCGCCAAGAGCAGGGGCTGCCGCTACTCACAAAAAGAACACGCAGGGAATAGAAAAAAAGAAAACAAACAACAAACAATGGCAGGCTGTTGGCCCTGACTCTACTGGCAAGATGAAATACAGTAATACAAGTGACACTCTTTAGAGCAGAGCATCTGCTCCACCTATTCACTGCAGGATTTGATTAAATCAAGAGGAACATGGACAGCCATTCCCCTAGTTCAAGTCTGGCCCATGGGTCCACCATGTGGTCTGAATGTTTTTTTTTTCTTCCTTTCATAAAAAGGTAACAAGATTTGATCTCTGCATTTACATTTTACATTACATTGGCATGAACAAGAGTGTGAACTAGGCCAGTACACAGAGGCTAACCAATCATAAGAGAGGTAATTTACATATACTGTGTACTGTCTTAATGGTACAGTAACAACCTGTTCAGTTCTAGGGGTCAAAAAGAGCGTTGTGTATTGTGTAAAATTAAATTGGGAATGCTTTTGGCTCAATAAACCTTACACATGGACCACAGGAAAATAACAGATAACAGAAAAGTGCAGAAAAATGGCTTCTTTAAAATGCAAGTTACACATCAGACAGGACTCGCTCTGTGGATTTTGCTGAAGATCTCATAAATAAATTCTATCTGGCCCTGCATTTCATCCTTACAATATGGCAGTTATAACATGTTATAATTAGGGTTGGGTATCGTTAGACACTTTCCGGTTCCGATTCCGGTTCCAGTTTTGCCTAACGATTCCGGTTCCATTTAAATGAACAATTTTTTTTTTTTTTTTTACACTATTTTACCTTCATTGAATGTAGTGTTGCTGGAAGGTAGCAAGTAATGTTGAGTAATGCTAGTTCATCAATCACATGTGCTTCAAAGTTGATGTTTTTTACACTATCAATAACATTTTGCTGTTCAAGCAGAAATAAGCTGGTTGGCCAAATAGTCCCTTGAGGGCTAAGACACTTGTTAATTTCCCTAAATTAATGAAATATTAACTGTTATACTTATAACCATGTATACACACACTCCATAAAGCCCCTATTTTACAAATAATAATGCAATCAGGAGATGGTGTGATGCAATGAGTGGTTTCCACATTTTTAAACATTTAAAATGCATGAAAACAACGTGCAGAGTTATCAAAGACGCGAGTGCGCATACAGTCATGGAAAACGATGTGTTCGGCAGTTAAAGACGCGGCGCGTCTGTGGAGTGCGCGTCATGGGAAACAATGTGCTCAGTAATTAAAGAGGCAGGGTGGCGTTTCGGTTATTTGGTTTGTGACATCCTTACGGGAAACGCCGGCGCAAGGCTGCTCGCAGCGCTTGGTCACGTGTCGCAACAGAACCGTTTTCGGAACCAAAACTCAGAAATTGCTTTCTGGTTCTTTTCAAAAAAACAGAACCAGTTCTCGGTTCCCAACCCTAGTTATAATATAACATGGTTCAAATAAACACCCCTGGGAAGGTGTGAGCTGTTCTTTTGTCTTTCAAATGCTAATAATCCTCTTACTTTTGTTTTCTTTTTGAATTCTTGCATTTAATGTGTAAACATGGATAAAGTGAAGCACAAAGAGCATTTCCTGGAAAAAAAGGTTTGTTTTTTTCGGTGGTATTCAATGTTATGGCACAAATGCTGTTTATATAGTTTAGCTTGTAATGAACCCAGAACATTCCTTTAATGAATGAGTAAAGGTCACAAATCTAGTTAATGTATACGTGACCGTGACTGGACACTTGCCATTCAAGCAATGGACACCAGATAGCAAAGGCAACTCAATTTCAAGTCTTGCTTACCTGTGATATTGAAGCTGGTCAAGTTGCCTTGGTACACAAAAGTATTGTCTTTGTAGAGGATATATTGGGTGATGATGCCATTGGGTTTGAGTGGAGGGTCCCAGTGGACAGACAGAGAGTTGGGGTAAGAGATTGCAGCAGGTAAAGGAACCTCCTCCGGAGCTATTAAAAATAAGACATTAATAAAATGATCAAACAGTTAATTACACATGTTAACTAGTAGAGACAGCAATGCATAGAGACTTAAGTAATAAGCAAAATAAAAAAATAAAATAAAATATGATAAAAATATGAAAATCTTTTATTATTATTAATTATTTAACAGATTAAATAACAAATAATAATAATAAATATTTTCATATTTTACAATGTTTTAGGACTAATTATATAAAATTATATATATATATATATATATAT